TATACAAATATATACACAACCGTACCCCTACCTACATATCCAAACACTTTCATATACATACTTACATACAAATACATACATACCCACATACATACCCATACATATACATGCCCATATACATACATGCACACATACATACACATACACATATGCACATATCCTTCGTCAGTGCCCGAATAGAAAACCCAGGGTGTAAATGCCTGTTTGTGTGCAGTTGTGATCATGCATGGATCTCTCCCGTGGAATGTTTCAAAGTGAGTGTGGGGGGACCACAGACGCGACCCGCAAAGCCGGTAAAGCACGTGGTTGACCCTGCCGTATCATTGCAGATTGATCCATAATATAACAAAATAAAGACAGTAAGCCTTGTCTGATAAAAAAAAGAGCCATAAAGGCATGGTCAGGTGGACAGTTAAGCATAAATTGAGCTTTAGATGCATGGTTACATGTTACTAGAACCTATAAACTAGGATTGTAAAAAGTTGCACAAGTTTAGCTTTCCAACTTATGCCACATTTAAATGCTTAAAAATATAGAATCAAATAGTTTTGAACTTTTTTTGCTTGATTATTATGTTGCTGTGTAAGTAGACATCATTTAACTCTGCCCAGCTTTGGTTTTGGATGATGGCCTCTTTCTCATGTTGACAAATTCACATACATAGCTTTTCATGTGCAGAGCTCAGTCACAAATTTGTTTTGGTGTTTATTAGYGTCATTTTGGATAACATAATTGGAGACAGAGTTAAAGAGTAGAAAATTGTTGATTTGCTTTAAATGATTTGCTACTGAAAACTTTAAATTCATGTCTCAATGGGTCTGTAGTGATTTAGTGGACCTAGCTGCATAGACAAACAGACAAACAGTCGTGGTCAGAAGTTTGCAATCATTCATGAACATCATCTTAATTTTGGCCTTTTATTAATTGGTTTAAATCATATATTTTTACAGCTAAGAATGTGATTCCAGTGAACAACATTAATAACKTTACGAACAAGAAGTAGGGACACGGTCAGTGCACTTTTTGGTTATTCGATTTTTGTTTCAAAAACAGATTCTGAACAATTAAAATGGATAGTTATTCTATTTTCATTTTATACTCCAAAAACAGGAATGTGGTCCGTCGTTTTATTTTTCTCAAACCAGAAGTTTAACACTGTTGTTACCAGACCATCTAAGGTGGCGCTAAATAACTTTATTCACAGGCAGCTGCCTGTAAATGAATAAACACTAGCTGACTGCATCTGCATTAGTTATTATCTAACTGCAGACTGTTTTTAATATAGCTAGTCAAGCTAATTTTTTTAAGAATAATTTATCTAACCTGACCTTAAATAATATATTATGCTGTACATACATAATGCTGATGTATTGTATTTTTTGAATCCCATGTGAAAATTTTTGATTCTAAATAAAAAAAAGATTAAATGAAAGGTGCACAGACTGTCCATCCACATGAAAACGTCTTTTCTGAATACACAAAAGTGTTTTTTTATTGTTTCACCCTTGTGTAGGCACAGAAAGTGTTTTCAGAGCCCCAAAGTTCCAGAGTTGAAAAAAAATGTAGACAACTTTTAATTTTTGCATATGTAGCCAAATTACAACCTTTTGAAAATTATGATGATTTAGCCTCCCCTGTAATCTAACCTACAACACAAGTATGTCTTCTTTTTCTTGCTGTGTATATATTTTACAAATGTTACAAATATACAGTCATATGAAAAAGTTTGGGCACCCTTGTTAATTTTCCTGATTTACCTTTATAAATCATTGATT